ACCAGCCACATGAAGCTTTCACTCCCCTCCACCCCCCTCCCTGTGCTCTGGGGCCAAGGGGGTTGTGCATTTGGTAGCTTAGTTGTTCATACATATGGACAGCTGTGGCAGGACTGTGCTCACCACTAGATGTCAAATGTAAAATTTCTGAAAGTATCCTTTTCGACGCCTATGAGACAGTTGAGTGCTCCCAAGGGGCTTGGGTCACAGATTTGGCCATAGACATACTATCTCATATCCTAGATGATGTTTAGAGCCTTGGGAACAGTGGAAATCATATTGAGGAAGTCTAACCCAAAGCTTTGGGGAGACTCAAACATTGAGAGGTTGAGTAGAGAACTAAGGCAGGTGGTATAAGGAAAATCAGGACTGTTTGATGCCAGGGAATCAAGAGATCACTCTGTTATCATGGTTCAGATTGGATCCTTCAGCTTTTACTAGTGCAGTTTTACTCTGACTACCCTAGACCAGGCCCTCTTCATCTCATTGTTGATTTCACTATGTTTCAGAAATTCACTGAACACCAGCTGCCTGGTGCCAAGGGAGGCAAAGTGGCATAAGATATAATTCCTGCCTTTGCAGATTTTATGGACTCTGAATAAATGAAATCTTATGCAAATAAATAAAAGGGAGGGCTTATGGTATTCATTTTAGAGTGTGAAGGATTTGAGCTTAGTTTGAGATGAACTTTGAAGGTACCTGCGTTGTAGTCAGTTGACATTATTGGGTGGACATCTGCCTGGAAAGGCAGGCAGGAACAGTGTCCTGGAGGGGCTGGAATTCAGGGCTTCAGGAATGTAAACACTATCCTACAGAGAGGTCAAAGTGCTATTCTTAGGTAGGAGCTGTGATAAGATAGTGTGGTACTGTTGTTTTGCAAAGTTCCTGGGCAGAGAATTGTAACTGAATAGGGGAGATGGGCTAGGCATGGCACTAGGAAATGGGGATCAAGGCCTGGCCAGGGAACAGCACTAGGATGGACAGAATAGTGGGGCTTTGTGCAGCCTTTCTTAGGAAGAATACCCAAGCCGTTGGTTGAGTTGATGTTGGAGCCCTGGAAAGTGTGTCATTTCAGATAATGGTGCCATGACAGGAAATTGTCACCACAGTTGTCTGCATTTTACAGTGTGGCATGACACATATGGATTTAGGAAGGTGAGTTTGAATTCTGGCTTTACCTCTGAGAAATTAGGTAACCTTGATCTGGTTACTTAACTATCTTATGCCTCACCTTCCTTGTCTATAAAATGAGGTTGATAATAGAACTCCCTTTTTAAATTGGGAGGATTTTGAATTAATACATGAAGCTCGGTGGTATAGAAGGTGCTGAATGACTAGTTGAGTGGAATGATGTTCAGAGAATTACATCATTAATAAATGGAAGAAACAAGATCTTAACTCCGATTTGTCCACTTCTCCAACATTACCTTAATGTTCCAGAATCAGTGTTTCTCACATTTCACTTTCCTTGTCTTGGCCTCTCCTGATGAACCTGTCCCTTGGCATCAAGCCCACATTTGATTGCGTGGTTCTGGGCATTCTATCACCTGATTCGTGCCAGATTATCCACCATGGCTGGGCTCAATGGCACATGCCTGTAATCCCAGCCACTGGGGAGACTGAAACAGAAGGATTTCGAGGCACTAAGCAACTCAGTGAGACCCTGACTCTAAATAAAATACAAAATAGGGCTGTGGGTGTGGCTCAGTTGTTGAGTGCCTCTGAGTTCAATCCCGAGTACAAAAAAAAAAAAGCTTACCCACCTCAACTCCATGTATACTCTGACTCCATAACTCACCTCGATTTGCCACTTCTGTCCTTCAAGGAGGGACCCTCTAGATGCTGTCTCTCCTCAGGGATCTAGCCTATGTCTCCGTGTTTCTCGGTGAAGGCATTTGGGCCACCACAGGCCACTTCAGGCCCCCTCCCCTTGCTACTCTGATCAGCTGCTCATTACTTTATGCTTGTTGGCCTGGATAAACTTCACATATCACAGGAATTCCTAAAAAAGAATCCATTTAATAACGGTCCATGGTATTTTTATTATTTTTAAACCCACCCTCATGCTAGGTGCTCAACAAATTCTTTTTTTTATTGTTTTTTATTTTTATTTTTTAGCTTTAGGTGGACACAGTATCTTTATTTTATTTTTATATGGTGCTGAGGATTGAACCCCGTGCCTCACGCATGCCAGGCGAGCGTGCTACCACTTGAGCCATATCCCCAGCCCTGTTGTTTGTTTGTTTTGAGAGAGAGAGAGAGAGAGAGAGAGAGAGAGAGAGAGAGAGAGAGAGTGTTTTTTTAATATTTATTCATTTTTTTAGATTTCGGCGGATACAACATCTCTGTTTTTATGTGATGCTGAGGATCGAACCCGGGCCGCACGCATGCCAGGCAAGCGCGCTACCACTTGAGCCACATCCCCAGCCCTGTTGTTTGTTTTTTAAAAAATATTTTTATTTTTAAATTGTAGTTGGACACAATATCTTTATTTATTAATTTTTATGTGTGCCTAGGATCGTACCCAGAGCCTTGCATGTGCTAAGTGAGTGCTCTACCACTGAGCCACAATCCCTGCCCTTTAAATTGTTTTATTAACCTTTGTTTTGTTTTTATGTGGTCCTAAGGATCAAACCAAGTACCTCACACTCTACACTGAGCTACAACCCCAGCCCCAACAAATTCTTAAAGAATGGATGAAGAAGCAGGAATTGTGATGACAGTAGTTCAAGTCCTCATCTCACACCTGGATTTATATCACTAGTCTCTTAATCTAGACTGTTCCTAATCCAGATTTAGGACACTGCCACTGGAGTGCTTCTTATCCATTCTCTTCAGGGAAAGCTTGTGCTTCAACATTTCTGACAGTTAGGACCACAGCTCTAAATGGCTGCCTGCATCCCGATCCTCCCTGCCTTTGGGTCTTATCTGCGGGCTCTCTGTTCTGCACTCCTCGTCCTTGCAGTTCCTAGAGTGTTCTGTGTGCCCTTCCTGGCTGATTAAGAGCCCTGCTGGAGCCCACCTGGCAAGCTCAAGCTCTTCCTTGTCACTTCCTCTAAAACATCCGCAAGCAGAATAAGGTGCTGCCTCCTTCTCGCAGCTCCACCCACCACCATATTGTTCCTGGTCTGCTTTCCTTGTAGGCCCAAATCTGGAGGCTTCTTGAGGGCAGGGCCATCTTTTTCTTGCCTCATCTCCCTGGAGATGCTGTATGCACAAGGCCGGGAATGCCTGTTGATCATATGAATAATACTTCCATCTAGTCCTCTTAAGAGGACAGCGTGCGTCTTTCTGGTTCCTTGACAGATATTTCCTTCGAACTATATGAACTTTATTGAAAATTGACAATGATGAGTCATATCTTGGCAAAGAAAACGCAAAGCCTCGGGGACTGGAGTAGGGGGTTGCTAATGGGTCTTACAGGTGAAATCCAGCTCTTCCCTGAGTCTGCCCGGCAGGTCTCAAACACCGGGAGTGGGAGGGCCTCTTTCCTCGGTGGACAGGTGATTTATTGGCTGGGAAGCTTCCGTGGTGATTTAGTTGTGGAAGGGCGCCTTTCGAAGTGTAGGCCAATGCCTGGCCCCGG